GGTAAACATTTATATATATATATATATAGTATATTTATAATCAAAATCAGTCAGTAGGTTAGTTGTGTATAGGTTTTTACTGCTTTACTGTATAGGTTTTTACTGTTTTACTTCATTGTTGTATGCCTGTATTTATGTAACACCGTGGTCCTGTGAGGCACGACATTTCGTTCCACTGTATGTCCCCACATGCAGCAGAATGACAATAAAGCTCAACTTGACTTGACTTGATTTTGCGTCCTTTTAGATGCTTGACATCTTCAGTGACCGTTCGTTGTCATTAAAAGACACACTAAGACATTCTTCACAATGTCTCTCTCTAGTTTCACTGAAGAAAGTCATACTATTTTTTTATGAGTAAATGATGACAGAATTTCCACTTTTGGATGAAAACTTTTACAACTCTACATTCTGTCACATTTGCTCTCGCGCTGTCTAGTTGTTTTTGAACCGAGAAACATCTCTGTGAACGCCCCCTTAAGTGTCATAAACGGTAAAATGCTGTAAAACAAAAAGATAACTTTAAAACACGTGTTTTATTTATAGCACGCTTACTTTGTTTCGAAAGTCAAAATTTCGCTTTGAGAGTTTTCCAGAGACAGCGTGACATTTCAGAATATCTTAACTTGAGGGGGAAAAGCTTAATGACGTTAAAAATAATTTAGTAATAGTAATTTAGTAATAGCAATAAATCCATTTAATACACATATAACGTATAAATAAACACGCCTTGTCAGCTGTCATACATTTATGCAACGAACTCACCGATGATTTTTTCCTGATAACCCTTGGTGAAGAACTGCATGGCGGTGGCGGCTCTCCACGGAGTTTTGAGGAGCCCCTGCCGCTGCGGATCTTCCCCGAGCCCCCTGAGAATAGTGGTGTAAGCCGCGGCGATGCTCGGCAGGCTCATTTCATTGTCTTCCAGACTGCGAGTGCGTTCTTCCCGCCAGCTCTCCATCACGCTGGAGGACGGCGCGGTGCTCGGGGTCCCGGCGGCACCACCGGCGCTCCATCCGGGAATCTTCACCCGTCCGTCAAAATGTCCATTAATCGCGGAGTCTGCTTCATTTTCATTTTGATTCATTTGTTTCTGTTTGAAGCGCTCCATGATTGCCTGAAAGTGACAGCTTGGGTTCCTCAAAGTCGGTTTTGGTGCTACTGTGTTTTTTGAACACAGTTTAAGGTGTAACGGACAAACTTCAGTGTTGTTCAACGGCTATTATACTCTTGTCAAACTCGGCGCTCAGTCTCAGGGACAGCCGGGGGTTTTATAAACATTGGCTAATCCGTGCGCGTTTCTATTGGTCGCCGGGCGCATCCGCGTCACGGAGCCAGATTGCTATTGGTCGAAAGACGTGCTTGCGTCAGGCCACCTGTTTCTAGTAAGAGGATGAGATCTCTTATTCACATTACAGTGACGTCTTGGGCCTGATCAAACCACCTAAGGGGATTGACTAGACCTTTGGGTGATGATGTTCGTATGTTTAAAAATAAAAACAGTATTTCTGAAGTGAAATGCACCATGCAACCAAGAGGTTGTACAGCTGGTAACTGGTCAGCCCAGATTAGTTTCATTTCATGTCTGAGTGGTTGCAAAATCAAAGTTCAGTGACCTCGGATGAACATCAGAAAACCATTCACTTCACATTTGAAGGACGTCCTTCATTTCATCACTGGTGTGCAAGCAACATTGTGTACTTTCAACTGGCCAATTAGCCAAAATAACCTTTAAAATAAATAAAACGGCATACAAGACACAAAATTCAGTATTTTATCTTTTATTATGATTATTTGTTTTACATACAGTACAAAACCACACAAAAAATATGTACAAACCATCCAAAGCATGATAAGAGACCATTTTATTAACCATCTTGCCATATTGCAAATTGCTTAAAGAGACTTGCATTCATTTCAAATGCTAATGAAGAGACGCAGTGCTTTCAAAAGATCTCAAACTTTGAGAAAATTTATGGAGAATGAGTGGATCACAAATGAGCAGCCAGAAGGAGAGGTCAGAGAATTACAGTAAATAATGGAAAAAAAGAAAACTTAAAAAATGTTTCCCCCAATCAATATTCAAATAAAATGTAAAAATTACATAAGCATTAAACTAATTTATGTCAAGTACTATTCTTTGTTAAATGCAAACGCAGAAAGTTTAGCCGAAGTATCCAGTGGCTTTTTCTTTTTGGCGCTGCCCTCATCCGACTCCATTTGGTCATTTACTTGTCCTTCATCTTCACGCTTTCGTTTCTTGGGGTCAGAGTTGCCCTTTGCTCTCTCTGTCCAGTTCTGAATGAAAGATAAGATGGATTTATGTACATTCATGCAAAATTACACAAGCAATAAATGGTCAAATAAGCCTGATATTATCATTAGAATTGACCGACCACCACTGCCGCCAACCCAGATACATTTGTTCACAGTTCAAATAAACAAAAGCAGCGAACATATACAGATGACCATGATGAGTCATCGGACCCATTTCACATATAAGCACCAGGGCCCTTTCTGCACGTTCCCCCCACCCCTCACACTGCACACCATTCATCATTGTATCGCACTCTTTCAGCGCCTGAAGCCACCCCCATGTCATTAACATAAGATCAATGAGTGCGGCACACACCCCCAGCCCGGGTTTCCAGAGCAACAGGCGTCCTAACCATTCCCCCTCCAGGCTGGAGTGTGTGAGAAGAGTCATTCTGCCTTGCACTGAGTGGCCCTGTGGGTGCGGGGTCACGAACAGATTGTTCATACAGGAGAGCATGAGTGTTTGGAAAGCCCACACACATACACAGGTAAGTGGAGATCAGAAAACATGAGGATATTTGCTAATGAACAGTGTTGTCATGGATAAATTGGCTTAGAGCTTTAAGAGCATATTAAAAATAGAGGAAATTTAACTAAGGGGAAAAAAAACAAGTGCATGAATGAAATCTGTTACATAACCAATACACGTGCAAGAAAACAGAAATTCCTAGGTAACCTTCCTGGATTTAATAATAGTCTGAAGACTTTACTTGAGTAATTAGTAAACAATTGTGGATTAAATATGTCACATGCTCCAATAAGAATGAAATGTCTTACCAGTCTTTCCTCTGCTGAAAGAGTGCGGAAACGCCCCATGCCTTGCTTGATAACATCCATTTCCTCAAAGTCAGGATTGTCAGCGAGAATGCTCTTCCTATTATCCTCAAGCCACAGCTGAAAGCCAGTTTTCGGCCTAAAGCAAGTAAATTATAGTTACAGACAAGAAGACTGTAAACAAACCTCTAAAAAGAATGATCAGTCATCTGCCAATGACTATATAAAATAATGACTGACTATAAATCTAATTTAATTGACCTTTCAGCATTATCACAGGTTCTTAAAAATAATTCATTAAAAATACTAAATTATTTTGCTGGTACAGTGAAATAAATATATACACTATGTAATAAAAACAAATAAAATGTGCACAACTACTGAAATTAAACACCGATCAATCACAAAAAAATATTATATTATCAGCATTGATGTGACAAACTAATATTGGAACACTATATCATGGCCAATTTCTTTTATTCAAATAACACTCTTTATTTATGCCCGACTGCAAATCTTCCTATATTTTATAGTATATGCCTGTATTTCACTTCATATAAAATGTTTGACTGGCACTAACTAGAGCTTAACTAACAGCCTTTGTCCTTGAAAAATAGTTTTACAGTATTGCTCTCATATATTAATATGTAAAGGTGACTATAAAAAAGTAATCATACATATATGGTGCATCCCTAAATTTGATATAATTAGTATGATGGCTGCTGACATGAAATACTTTCATTTTGAAAGTTAAATGATTTGATGTTCTTACTTCATTACAATTAAAGATAGTTTTCTCTCTTACTTTCTGTTTTCAATATTCTCCACTGATGCTGGAGGTGTAGCTGCAGGGGCTGCTTTCACTTTCTCTGCTTCCGTTTGACTGTCCTCCAGTTTCTTACTGTTTCCTTTAGAGGCACTCATCTGCAGCAGAGTGGCCTGGGTCTGAAAAACAGGGCCTAGCAAATTACCACTGACTCAAAACACCTAAAGATCTGTTATGTACAAGATGAGATTTTTGTGTCTAGCACATTGGCTAAAGAACATAATGTTGCTTATTCCAATAGAAACACCTCTGACATTTCACTTGAACAAATGTTTTACCATCAGAACTAAACATTCTGGAGGAAAGGATCCTAGATAACCAGGTCATCCCTGGCAGGCAAAGCTGAGAGTGAGTTTTATGGGGTCAGACAGGGTGTGTGACCCTGCAGGGCTGGAGAACATTTGTATTTGAGCAACACACTGTACCTTAGACTTGGGTTTGGGTGCCAGGGGCTTCAGGACTGGGGCTTTGCCCTGTTTTGATGTGCCGCCGAGAGGTGTGGGTTTTCTGCTGGACATTGTCATGCTGTCCAAAACGTTAGTTGTTCTGGGCTGACCAGCTGATGAACTTGACGGCTTTCCTGCACCGGACACCTGCACATTTAAATATATATTGCTATACATTGTAAAAGTAAAAATGCTTACCAATATTTTTGAAAAACAAAACTTAAAAGGAGCTTAATGTAATTAAAAATTGTGTAATTCTAACCTTAAAAGGGTTCACACGTCCTTCTCTGCTCACTGTGACACACAAGCACAATTTTAATTGTCAGCAGACACTCATATATAATGGAGGCCCATTTGTGCCACTCAAAAAGTCATTTGAAAAATTAAATAAATTTGAACAAGAAGTTAAAGAAATAATGTAGAAAAAAACAAAGCTGCAATTTGATCATCAAAAATTAACAACTGCCAAATTCTTTTTTTTCCCCCTTTACTTTTTTTTTTTTTACTTTATATTCTATTTTTATATTCTACTCACCTGGTTTAGGAGAAGGCCTTTCAGGTGATTTTCCTCCTTTTTTTAATGGATTCAAACCTGGATAGTCAAAATATGTTCATATAAAAAATGTAAAAATCAAATTAAATTAAAAAAGTTCATTTCTTAATCTTATAGCTATGTCTACTGCAGAAATTGAGACTTGTGCTGAAACCATGTGCACAGATAGGAGTGTCAATAAAGAAAGACTTTATTTTAAAGATCAAACAATATATAACTGATATGCAAAGAGCATGTGGTTTAATATACTTGAACATACTGTAATTTTCAGATTAGGGGTGTGCGATATTGACAAAAAATTATATGTGTGCGCTCTGTAGGGATGTTTTGAATGGTTTTTGCAAAATACTCGATAATGTCAAATCGCACATCGTTAAAACAACAATTACGATATTATCGCAGACGATATATATCGCACACCCCTATTTCAGATACAAGTATGGAAGAAAAACTAGCATATTTACTTTGCTTCCTGGTCTCTGTTGACTCTTCTGCATCCATTTGCTCCTCTTGTAGATAATCTTCCTCCTTCTCCTCCTCACAGCCATTCTCTACTTGTGCTTGTCTGCTGCTCATCTGACGGGATCCTCTATAAACATACAGAAACAAAACATGATACTCTACATCGGCATTAACATTTTCAACTATTTTTATTTGATTCAGAATTCCCACAACTTCTGGTCAATCAATTTCCATTGTTATTTCTGAAAAGGACTTTTACAATTATTTCAAAGACATTGCACTCACAATGCAGTGTATGTATTTTAAAGCGTAACAGAACTACAAAAAAAAAAAAAGTATTCACTATTGAAATGTATAACATTTAAAACACACAACTACAAGAGTTTTTATGATTTTTCTAGGCCTGAAGCTTGTTTTTAAGAAGCTGCAGTGGCACTGAAAGAACTTTAATCAAAATAATACATATTAATATTACCCAGAATTCCATGCTAACCTCTGATAGGCTGGCTCTTCTTCTTCCAGCTCCTCCTCTTGAAACTGATTGGCCTTTTCCAGGGCGAGTTCACTGAGTCTCTGTGCCACTGCCATGCGTCTGGAACGAGACGCGTAACGGATGGCGAGCGTCACAACGCTGTGAGTCATCATCTCAGCCAGCTCCACGCACCGGAACTCTCGCTCCAGTTTACACGACAGCTGCCGCCACACAAACAAAACAAACAGCATACAAAATTATGAGAGGAGTAGAAGGACAGTTCAAATAAAAACTAATCTGATCACATGTGCCAGCTATGCCAGAAAATGATGCACATTCATCAAAGTGGAGTTTTGATTTATGACATTCCAGAATCGTTTTACAGAAATCAGACAGTGAAATTCGATCCAGGCATATGCAACTGAATTTAACCAGTCTTTAACTTCCTGTTCTGGCCACGTGAATGACTTACAGCGAACATCTTCATTAGCAGTTCCTGCTGCTCTTTCTCAGCCTGAGACTGACCCTCGCTGTCAATTTCATAACCACTGGATGACAGAAAGCCATAGTGGTTATGAAAGAGCATGGACCGCCAGTATTGCTCCTATAAAACATAAACAGAGCGTTAGTGTCTTATTCAGCTGCACAGTTACAAAAAACAAACAAACAAAACAAAACTCATTTGATAAAGCAAATCAGAAAAGCTATGGACTGCCAAGATAGGGATGGACACATCTGACTTTCAGTGTACGTCAGCAACAATAATACTACATGGAATAAAACAAAATAAAATAGCACAAGGGAATAAAAGAGAACCTATTTCTTCAAATTTATCTTATACCTCCATTTGGCCTTTCTCTGTGGTGGTCTGGCAATAAGGCAGGTTAAAGGGCAGGACGGCCACAGCAGGGCGAGGTAGGGTGGGTGGGAAACGTGAACCTTTACATGGGATACACCTGAGAGAGAGGATGAGGAGTTTCATTGGCTGCTTGGAAATTTCAATTTGGATTGATTTGACATTTGTGAATCAAGGAAAATGAATGCAAGGAGAAAGACGCACCTGAGCTGCTGTGGATTCTCATGAACCCCAACAACCCAGTAATGGTCTGATTTGCTCTTGCAGCTGTCTCTGGTGTTACAGACAGGAGTCCACGTGTTCCCCAGGGTCCGGTTCAGCATACGTACAACACCCTCCGAGTCAATACAGCATGGGGTTCCTGGAAAATTTTTTATTATTATAAGCCTTCATCTGTCATTTACTAATCAACTAGAAAAAGGAAGAAAAAAAGAAAACATAAAAATCACAGGTTTGTGGCTTTTAGTCCATGTCTATTAGCTTTGAGGCCATATGAGACCCTGGACCACAAAACCAGTCTTAAATAGCACGGATATATTTGCAGCAATAGCAACAATACATTGATGACTCATTCCTATGATGGCAAAGCTGAATTTTCAGCAGCCATTACTATAGTCTTCAGTGTCACATTATTCTTCCAAAATCATTCTTATATGCTTATTTGGTGCTCAAGAAACATTTCTTAGTATTATCAATGCTGAAAACAGATGTGCTGCTTAACATTTTTGTGGAAATTGTAATACATTTTTATGAACAGCATTTATTTGAAATAGAAATCTTTTGTAACATTATAAATAGCTTTTCTGGAACTTTTGATCAATTTATGCATCTCTGCTTTAAAAAAAAAAAAAAAAAATTAAACTTACTGACCCTAAACTTCTTAACAGTAGTGTACATAGCATGGTGTAACTATCAGGAAATTGAAGTTAATATTACAAAAAATTCTGCAGGCTGTTTTGTTCATTTTTCCATTTCCTTAACTATCAAAGAACAGGAAGAGAATACTGTGACTCACCCTCTGCAGTGAAGCCCATCCATGCCAGGTAGGACTTCCGTGAGAGAGGCAATGGTTCTCCATGTATGACCTGTCTTCTCTTGCTCCCAAGCTGGAGCAGCTGTACGCCAATGGCCTGATCTCCATCAAACCCAGTACCTGACGACACATATGACAAACAGGGTTCCAGACTACGACCATTTTTTCTGCCTGTGCGACTAAATTCTGTGTGCGGTTGCACTGGCGTGACCACCGCGTTATTCAACTCATAAGCGCTGCCATTTCTATTGCATATAAGAAACATCAAACGGCAAACGAAACTGAAAGCATAACAAAACCGCACTACTCGTTTGAACTGCGCAGCACTATGAGTGTAGAGCCTGGTTTATACTCACCGCGTCAGCACGAGTGTGAAGGTGCGCGTGGGAAAAATGGAGGAAACGATAGATGGTTTTCAAGCTAAAGTAAAGTAAAAGACCGCTTCTTAAACCAGAGAAGGTGAACATGTTGGTATTCTTGTGGGAAAAAAAAAACATGCAAGCACTGTCACCGACAGCAAGTTTAGTTTTACTTTTCTTTTTGTTTTCATTTTGAAAAGCTTGTTATCTTTGCTGTTTACCTCACGTTACGCTGTGAAGGCTCTCTTTTATTTATTTATTTATTTTTATTTGATTCCTCAGAGAGCACACCTCGCTTTTCAGACCGATGAGCTTTGTAAAAATCGACGTGTTTCAGAAAGGCGGGGCATAGAGGAGAAACAATAATGTATAGTATGTGGAAAATAATGTGTTTTTTGAACCTTAAACCGCATAAACACATTTAATTACAGCAAATACACAAAATAATGTTCTTTTTAGCAATATCATATGACCCCTTTAATCAAGAATAACAATGAATCAATTTTTTGTTTGTCTTAAAGTGAAAAGTGTGTAGATGTATTTAAGCAAAACAGACAATTATCTTTTCTTGTAAAACGTGACAAGATCGCGAATTCGAAAGTGAAAGCACCCAAAGTCTGGCTTATAACACAGCAAAAGAGGAACTCCCGTTCACAAAATTCAAATCACAAATAATACTACTAATGAAAAAGAATGGGTTGAATGTTAACCACTTTCGTTTCCATATAACTATAAACTATGAAAAAGTTCATCAGGATGCATTGATTAATTCCATGTTGTAGCAAAAAATATATATAAAAAATTGCGACCAAATCACGTGCGTTGAAACCAGTGCTTGTACCGAAAGTAGAGTGGCACGCATCAGTACCTCTGTGATGCATGATGAGGAGCTGCTCTCCGTGTCCTGCCATGCATACAACAGCTCCAGGCAGGCTGAAGATCTCCTTCTGCACTCCACCAATAGAGAACAGCCTGACCATCAGAGCACTTGTGGCCACTGCAGCCCAGCCCTGACCCAAACACAACGCACAAACATCCTCTCCTTTAGGAAGATCCACTATCCAGTCCTTATGAGTGTCCCAGCATGAGAAATGCAAACACTGGATCTTACTGTTGAGAGAGAGAGAGAAAATAGTGAAAAAGAGACATGTACAAAAGGAAAGTAAAGATGTAGATAAGTGAACATTCTCTTATTCAGTTCTGGTTGTCGATTAAAGAGCTCTTTAATTTATATCTTTGATATGTCAGTTTTCATATTCTTTCTACATGTAAATATCTTTTTGATTATGTTTAAGGAATTGGCTCATTGGAAAATTACATGAATACAAATCAACAAATTTCAGGGTATGATTATGTAACAACACATTTCCAAAAATCCATTTGGAATTAAATTTCCAAGTGTCCAAAAATCCTCATGATCTGAAATACCACTTCTATGACACCTACTGTAATTTTACTTTTGTAATTTTTAATTCACAGGCAGATAATTTACTGCCGGATTTCTACTGGATTAGTAGTTCTGCAAATAAAAATGGAGGCAAAGTGCAAATTTGCTTCATAAACAAGAGCAAGTGGTTGAGGACAAATGGGAGACTACAGAGCAAGGTTCACATCAGCTGCTGCTGACGGTAATCTGAAAGCAGATACTATGAAAGCAGCCCTGTTGAATACAAATGAACTCTAAATTCACTAAAAATGTCCAAACTAAAGAAACGAAAGAAATGACCTCAATTATTAAAACTAAGATCTTGTACCTGGCAAGCTCATCAGTTCCCTCACAGGCCAGCAGCACGGCCTCCTGGGATAGATCAGCCATGGTGTGGCCCAGGGTGTTTGTGAGGTGCATGGCATGATGGATGGCAGTATCGTGAAACTCCACATCAATGGCGTTGTCCTGATCATCGTTATAGCCACGGACGATACCCACAGAGTTCCACACCTGAGAAAGAACATAAGGAACTTTACAAGACCTTCTCATAATTAAACAAATCACATCCAGATTTCCAAATATTTACTGCATCAACAACAGCTATGGTTCTTCCTCACCATAAAGCGATGCATGAGGTGCACTGGGGTGGATCCTGCCTGGAAAGCCCTTTGGGGTTGTGTGGGCATGGGACCCTCGTATACGGGACGGGACACTGCAGGACCCACAGCAAGAAGAATAGCACTGCTGCCATCCTCCTCTGGAACTCCATTCAGTTTTACAGAGCCTGGATCTTGAGAGACACAAACATCTGACCATTAATTGAAGAGTTTTAATCACTCTTTCACTACTAATAATATCCTTGACTTGAAGTAACTGCCTGCACTACTTGCTTTACGGAGACGCTCATACCTTGAGAATTGTCATCGTCATCCAGGAAGGACCCTCTGTTCCGTGGTCTGCCCGTGGCAGGCATGAGGTCATCGTCGTCGTCATCATCCTCCATGACGGGTTTCTTCACCGGAGACCGCGAGTCACTCATGCCCTCATCTAGCATCCGGTCATCATCCTCATCAAAAAGGTCATCATAGTCATTTTTTTCTTTAGCTGCAGTGGCCTAAAAGTCATCAGAGGAAAAAAAATTAATAAAAAATCACAATTAAAGTTTTCCCCAAATCGTGCAGCCCTAGTAATATTTGCTATGAACAGACATTATATAACGCTTAACTAAACAGAACTTCATGCATGTTTTAGTATGAATATGTAAATGTGACATTATAATACTTCTAACCATTTGAATGAACATGAACTGGTGTAAAAATTCAATATTATTATATATTATTATTATTATTAGACCTATATGTATTTAGTAGGGCTGGTCGATTTTTCCGATTTTATAGATTAATTCGAATTTAATGTTTTGCCACCATTTTATTTCTTATAAATTAGAAATATTACCAAATGTTATAATTAGACACTTTGACAAAATGCCAATGATAACAGTAAAGAGAAAAGCATGATCCAACCGCACGTGATTAACCGCTTACATGTGACGTGCTCTCTGCGAAAGACCATAAATATATAGCTAAAATAAGACATTTATTTAACTGAAAAAGTCAAATGTATTGCCAGCACTGGTTTGTTTGGAACTTCTGAGAGCTCTGGCTACAATGAATTACACCACATTAAGTGCGCTAAAACGGTATTTATTGGTTGAATTTCGTATTAAAACTTCCAAAATTTGAAAGCTGAGACTTTGTTTCATATCACAAGCAGGATTGCCAATTTGGCGTGAGATTTACATGGGCAGAGTGAGAGCGTAAGATAGAGCCTGAAAGCGTACAAGATGTAGTTGTAGTTCATGCATCATGCAAAGATATTTAACAAGTGATTTGTTTAACATTTACATCACGTTGACAACTTCATGTGTGGTGCACTTGGAATAGAATTTTCTTTAACTAGAGGGTTAATAACGAAAAAGTTACTTGAATTATGTTGTAGTTACATTTTCAAGTTGACTAGAAAACCGTACAAATCGAGAATTGGTCAAACAAACAAACAAAAGCAAAAAAAATATATATTTTTTTTCCTTATCGCCCAGCCCTAGTATTTAGTGTTTTCATACTTAACAATACTATTAACAAATATACAGACAAAGAATGATGTTAGTATTTTCAATAATAATCAAGCAGCAGACACAGGCACATAGAGGTCACCTAAAGATACATATTAGGGCTGTGCGATATTGAAGAAAAATGCGATATGCGATACCTTGTTAAAAAATGCGATATTCGATATGCGATACGATATTGCTTAAAGTGTGTAAAATCAATTTAAATGATATTTTAAAATATTTAAAAAACTGCAGAGTGTTCACTGTATGAATTAAATTTAGATTAATCTTTGTTATAGCTGTTTTGTTAAGATTAGTGACATATTCAGCAGCCGGTATTTATAGGGTGCTGTCCCTTTAAATCCGACTGCACGGATCCAGTATAATGATACACATCCAATTTCTTTCTCAGCTGTTTACATTCATTTAAAACATAACCGACTGCGTTTACGAGAATGATCGTTGAGACGGGTACTATTGACATAATTCTGTGTGTATGTGTCTGTTCAAACCTAAGGAGGAGATGCGAAAGACAAATCAACTCGGTCTGAAACACGTCTCTCTGTGTGTGCGCGGTCTGTCTGTGTCTGACTTCAGGTGTGAGTCAGACAGCAAGACGAGACGGCAAAGTTGTTAACTCTTTTTAACGTAACGCGTTTTTAACCTTTTGCAACGTTTTGATTTAAGTAGCCTATTATTAAAATGATAATGATATCGCACGCCGTTGCAATATTGCGATATTGACATTTGCGATATTTCGATATATCATGCAGCCTTAATACATATACATCCATCATGACTTGAATAGCACTGGTGATGCCATTTGTGGCACAGTATGATCGAGAAGAAAAAGACGAGAGCATGAAGGGATGACTGACCTTGGTGCTTTGGACAGTAGAGGAAGAGGATGGCGACGAGGAAAACACGCCTTCCAGGAGCCCGAGGCAGCCCTCGGTGTCAGTGTAAGCGATCCGGCCCCCTGAGGGATGCCACGCCATACCACACACAGTGAACCCTTTCTCATGTTTCTGTCTGTAATGTACAAGATCAACATCTTCAACATCACTGCACATACTGTATAGTCTGAAATACCTAGTAGCATGACTTCCTTTCTAGAAACATCCGTAAAAACACACAATATTGTGTACAGTTATATTATGTATAAAGCAATAATGACAATACAATATTCACATTCTGTCAACACCAAAATCTTCAATAATTTTAAGATGTGAATTTAACCTCTCGATACACAGTTTGGCCTCTACATCCCAAATCAACAGGTTTCCACCAACTGTTCCTGCAGCCAGAAACTTCCCACACGGCGACCAGACCACAACATTAACAACCTGGGAAGAGAACGATTCGGCAAGAATTACTCATAACATAATGCACTGCAATATAATGCAAAACTTTAACCACTCAGCACATTATCTCACCTGATACAGTAAGCAAAAGGTTAATACACAGTTGTAATGCTAATAAAGGTTTCCACAATCTATAAATGACCTTTTTCTAATTATATTGCTCTTAACTGTTCCATTGTTGTTTTCTACTGACCTGTGTGATGAGGTCATCACAGAGCGTGCTGACATGTGCCCATGTGTTTCTGTCATACAATTGAATGGTCAAGTCCACCGGTACGGCAAGCAGCTACAAGCATATACATCAAATAAAAATCTTAATCTTAAATGTCATGACTGTTGTAAGAAACTGGTGAGGGGAGTTACATATGTGCTCATAAAGCACTTACACAGGAAGCAACCAAAGAGAAAACTTGAAAATGTAAACTGAATTTTGAAATCTGAATGGGCCTTATATAAAACGTGAAATTGTCAATACCTTTCCAGAATGAGGCTGCCATGCAAGCCTACAGAGAGACTTGGCATTGCTCACATCACTCGACTTCTGGAGAATTTTCCATTGAGCTACTTGAGTCTAAAACACACAACAGGATTCATGAGCTTAACATCAGATCTAAAATACAGAGGGGGTTGAAAAAGTCTGAGATCACACTGAACATGTGGGATCCAATTTTAAACTTTTTTTTTTATTATTTAAAATTTTAGAACAAAAAAAATCTGAGATAAAATTAACAAAAATTTTAGTATCCTTGTTTTTATGATTCTTTCTTGGAATTAATTTAAATAAAATTGTTTTTTTAAATCAATTTTGAACATTTCGAAATTCTGAAATTAAAAATCTAATTTGAATTCAGTTGATTTAAATACGTAATTTCAATTATACTGAAAGCATAACTTGTAATAAAAAATAAAGAATGCAATAAAGAAGCGTTTTCTCTAGTGCTCGCTGACTTTTGGACACCATTGTACATGTTTTTCCATTGTATTAACAACTGACGAAGCCTCATACCTGTGACTCAATAGACCACACAGTAACTGATCCATCACAGCTGGAGGAAGCCTGTCAGGAAGTGACATCAGCATTATACAAATGACTAATTATGACCCAAAACATAATATTTAATAGATAAATACTCATCAGCTGTTAAAAATTAAAAAACACCTTAGACCGCAAATGATAATGTATGCAAGAAATGGTAAATGGTAATGTGTGCAATAAATATGAAACTGTGAACTAATTCATGAACTTCATTCGGCCACATTCAGAAATAACAGCTGACCATTAAAAGGAACCATGACACTCACAAGGAACTCATCAGAAGTGTCAAGAGCCACACTGAGGACGGGAGCGTAATGTCCACGAAGGGTCTTCTGCTGACTGCTGTCCACCACCTCCACTATCTTCACAATAAAGTCACTGGAAAACAGAATGCCAAAATTAGCACCTTCATTCTCCACCATTTTCAGCCCAGCAGAGACTCATATTGGCACTGCAGATCTTTCTGATCTGAAGTGGGGAAATAAATGAAAACTCATTTCCGACCTCTACAGGAAAAAAAAAAATCAAATAACCTGTTTGGAGCTCAGCTGCCAGTGCCGCCTGCATCAATATTCAAGCATCGGCAGCAGGATAAAACTGCTCAATCAATGCTGTGACATGCTCGCTGCCTTCATCCATGATGCATCCGCTTAAAACAATCCATATATCCAGAAAATGGCCATTTAGCCAAATACAACTAATCATAAAACAATCGAAGTGGCTTCGTTTTCGCATTGACGTCGGTCAAAAGCACAGAGATGGGCGTATTAAACAATACTTTTAAATTATAATATTAAACTATATTTAACACATATTAATGATCCATGAGATTTTTTTTTACACTGATTGTAACTAATAAACTAAATATTCATATAAAACCATGCATGTTGTATTGTGACTTTTCAGTCATAACTACCAAATATGTGACCCTGGACCACAAAACCAGTCATAAGGGTAATTTTTTCAAATTGAGATTTATACATCTGAAAGCTAAATAAATAAGCTTTCCATTGATGTATGGTTTGTTAGGATAGGACAATATTTGGCCGAGATACAACTATTTGAAAATCTGGAATATGAGGGTGCAAAAAAAATCTAAATATTGAGAAAATCGCCTTCAAAGTTGTCCAAATTAAGTTCTTAGCAATGCATATAACTAAACAAAAATTGAGTTTTGATATATTTACGGTAGGAAATTTACAAAATACCTTCATGGAACATGATCTTTACTTAATATCCTAATGATTTTTGGCATAAAAGAAAAATCGATAATTTTGACCCATACAATGTATTGTTGGCTATTGCTACAAATATACCTGTTCGACTTATTTGAATTTGAGTTTTATTAAAGGGAAAGCCCCTTGAGATGCTCCATCTCATTTTCGAGGGGGACCTGATCTGTTCTTATGACTGGTTTTGTGCTCCAGGGTCACGTATAAAAAAACAATAGGAAAATTGTTCAAACCCTGGACATTTTAGGCAATTTAGAAATCCCGGCCAGGATATGTCTGAGAAATAGAGGATAATATATGGTCACCCTGAAACATACACATGCTTTACAACACAAATGTAGGAGGACAAGGACTGAAAGCAAGTCATACCTTGAGCCTGCAGCCACTCTTGACCCGCTGCTGTTGAAGGTGACGTGGTTTGCGTTGGTGGTGAATCGAGTGAGAATGCCATCTGGATCTCCCTCTGGGAAAGTGTGAATCTGAACTGTGTTGTTGGAAACTGCTGTAACTAACTTTCCATTCTGTAGGGAAAAATAAACACTGACATTTAAATAACAGTAAAATTAACAGGATTCTGATTTAATTGGCCATTTTCATATGTTTAACTGGAAAAAAAACTCACTGTAGCATTATTAATGTGATTATATTATTATAATAGACTGTAAAAAAAAACACACACACA